TAGGTTTAGGTTTAGGTTAGGTTAAGGGTTAGGTTTAGGGTTAGGTTAAGGGTTAGGTTTAGGGTTAGGTTAAGGGTTAGGTTTAGGGTTAGCTTTAGGGTTAGGGTTAGGGTTAGGTTTAGGGGTTAATTTTAGGTTTAGCATTTACAGCGTGCTTCTGTCTCCGCGCTGTTGTCGCCTTGTTGATGACATCAGCTACGCGGTTTAGTCGAGCGCGGTTTTGTGGTGGAACCCCTGCGGAGGGTCCCCTTGGCTTTGGCTGCAGAGGAAGGGCAGATCTCCTCTGCCTCAGCTTTCCAGGCCCCAAAGCCTTCCAAGGGAGCGTCCGCGTTGCTGGCCTCTGCCCTGGTGCGATCCGCCTGTGCCAACACAGATCGGATCCCTCCCTCCTGAAGCCCCATCAGGCTCAAGGCTTCCTCACCCCCCGATAAGCCCCACGAGATCCGCACAACCGTTTCCATGAAACCTGGAAACTGGGAATGGCTACCAAGACAAGGGATGAGAAATAAGCATGTCAAAGGGCAGCCCAGGGAGAAGGGCACAATGCCCCTCAACCGGGCGCCCCTGGGCCCCAGGCTCCCCGGGAGAACCGACGCGGGGTTAGAGCGGCCAATGAGACGGTCTACCCTTCAAGTGAGCAGGGAACCCTGGGGCCAGGTTGCTAATCGGAGGTCGTGGGCTCTTGTCAAGGAGACTATGGGGCAGAAGGGACCCCCAGCAGACGGAGAGAGGGGTGTCACTGACCCCGTAACACTTTCCTCCTCCTCTGCACTTCCCACGCAGGCTCCTTGCAGGGCCTTGTGCCCAAAGGCTCAGGGAGAAATTGAATATATTTCCAGGGGATGATGAGGCCATTTCCCCAGTGAAATCCCAAACTGGAGAAAGCCTCCGTCTTTATATAGGACGCCCCTCTCCCCCAATTAATGCCGGGGAAGCCTGAGCAGCAGGTATGAAAGGAAGCCCCTCAGGAGGGCTCTGGAGAAGAGCAAAGGCTCCCTGGGCAGAAGAGGGAGCTGGCCACAGCCCTCAGAGGTGGCCTGCAAGAGCCCCATGTGCCCAGAACCTTGGCGGCTACATGCCCAGCCACTTGGCCCAGGAGGGGAGGCTGGGAATGGCGTCCGGATTTCTGCTCAGGGCTTGGAACGACCCCCTTGAGCCAAGCACAGGCCTCTCCCCTGCAAGACCAGCCACCACAGGCCCCCTTGGGCATCTATGCAGCCTGGAGTACGACATGTGGCCTGTGCTGTGACTGCATATCCTCAAAGACACTCAGGGTCCTGCAGGCCCCTTCCTGCTTCCCTTAAGAGGAGGGGAGGGGAAGCAACACCCCCCAGCCCCCAATGCTGGAGGGAATAGTAGCCTCTCCCTCCACTGGACAGCCCCAAGCCTCCCCCACAGGGCTGGTCAACCTGCAAGGCAGGGCCTGGGGGAGGCAGTGAGTCTCTCAGCAGTTAGGAAAGAGCTCTCTGCAGCCACAGGGACCCACCTGCCTTCCCCCAAATCCAGACTGAGTTCAGCACAGTGTTTTGGGGTCTCTGGACATTCTCTTGGATGTCATCACCATCCCTCCTGCTGGGCTAAAGAGAAGCACCTCCAAAACCTGAAGCCAAGCCAGGAGTTGGGGATGTGGAGCCAAAAATGATCCTCGCACTAAGGCCGTGCCCTCCACCAGCAGCAAGATTCAGACCCCCGGCCCCCACTTCCAAGGGCACCAGCCTCTGTGTCCTGCCTCCGACTGCCTGGAGACCTGCACCCTCAAACCTGTCCCTACCTATTGCTTGACCACCTGAAGACCAGCAGCCACGCAGTGCCCCACGCTCTGTGCCGAGGGAATCCAAGTAATTCTCCAAGAAGCAGCCGGGAATGCTAACCTGCTCATTAGGGAAGGCCCTGCAGTAGCCTTCCTCAGGTGGGCTTCCACAAGGGAGGGAAGGGGGGGGGGAAATCTACCCTGGGTCACGAGTTGAGAAAGACCCATTTTTATGCAAGGGTCCCTGAGACTGGGAGATTGTCTCAAGGGGGTGGAGGGTGTGGGGGAGCGGAGGTTTCTGCCTGGAGGGAACAGCCAGGGGCTTCGGAGAAGGGCGAGGGGGTGGGAAGCAGCAAGGAGAAGGGTGACTGCTTGCTTGCTGTGGCGTTTAAGGGAGAAAAATTAGAACAAAATTCCTATGCAGAGAGAGAGGTGCAGACATACAGTGAAAAGCCCTCAGGGGCTCCTGAGGGTCTCCAGTAAGACGTGGCCCAGAAACCAGCCCTCTGTAACCCAGCACTGATACGGAACACCAGGCCCATCCTCGGCTGGCCTCTCCACCCACCTGTGCCCCACCTTCACCGGGGGCCTCCTAGCCACAGCATCGCTCTGCACAGAGCTACCTGCCAGAAGG